ATTCCGTCTGTTCGACTCTACTTTTTTCGTGTCTCTCGAGCAAGGAGGATCCACTGGACCACTCTAGCACGCGACAGGGACGAATGGAGACGTTGCTGGCGCCCGCTCGAGCAAATCGACGATCAACGGGACGACAGGTGATACAGGTGATGAACGACTACGTAAGGAATTCATGCGGAATGCTGCTACCTGAAGTTCTTCGAAGCGTTAGAAAGGATGCCTACCTAGGATTTTGCTACAATTGTCACATCACAATTGAGCCTTCACGTCGAACTCATTTTCTATTTCAGCTGTCGGCTTCCCCTACCACTTGCGCAGAACGGGCAACCATACTGATTTACTTCCTATCACGCATTTCATAATGGCAAATTTAGGCGCGATCGGCTATACTTACACAAAGCTTCTACACACAGCTTTGTCCTTTAACGCCACGTTCATTGGGGACTCAATTTGAACAGCAGCAACTACCCCAACAAAGGATTCGCTTGCTTAAAGACGTGTCCCACGATGGAGTTTGTATGATTCCTCTACACGAAATGTAGTAGATGTGCGAAAATGGCCCTCACTGAAAAGGGTAAGAGAAATCTCCATGATATCCCTGAAAAGGCCTTCTTAATTAGCAGCTAAGAAGCCTGATAGCAAAGCTATATCATGGGCAACTCTCTAATGTCCTCCGAGCGACCAACAGTTGAACAAATACTTGATAAAATGTTGATTTTAATGGCGACTAATTCATGTTGTTTACAAGAATTTTGTTCTATGACAACTTTTTCACCGCCATCTTACACAGCGTCCTGAACAAATGAACAGGTTAACGTTTAATTGCGTTGGTGGCGATCGGTTTCTGCTCTCACTTCTCTTGTTATATGCGCTCACATTCACGGGTATTGGGCGAGAAAGATAGACCGATAGGTCGACATGCTGACAAACTGGTACACGAGCCAACTCTGGTTTATATAATAGAAGGATGAAGAGACTTGCTCGAATATTTTATGCCAGCATTACAAAATGTTTGCCAGTTGTTCCACTAGTTCAAAATGGAAAGAAAATGTAAGCAACTGTGCGCCTCATCAAAAACTGATTATCTATAGAACCCGGAGGGAACCAAAAAATCCACTGTTGGGAAGTGAATAGAAAAAAAAGGTAGAAAGAGAGAAAAAAGTTCTGAAAATCACCGTCTTCCAGGGGACCTGTGGCCCGAGATCTCTAACAAAAAGTTGCGCATTTTGAGCAGCCAAACCAAGTTCGCTGATTCTTTTCTCGTCTGCGACCGCTTTACCTTTCGGCTCAACACGCAACGACTGTCGCTCGACGGTCAGTGCAAGCTCTGAAAAAGCCCGTTGTTATCGAGCAACACCTTGTTTGGGCCCAAGTTCGGACCATTACGAAAGTGATTCAGTAGTAAGACACAGCAACAAGAGAGGGACCTTACTTTTCTGTGCGATTCTCTTCTTTATAGCTAAGATTGTCTCATCACCGGTCAGGTTATCCAGAGTAATGATGGAACGAGTTGGCTCCTTCGCATCGAACACTTCAAGATTGAAACCACCCATAATTACCTGAAATGCATGATACAGAACTATGCGACACAACGCCACAACCAGGAGAATGTACAAATGGCCCGCACTAAACACACACAAGAATGTGGGAAACAACTTCAAATAAACAAAGTGGGAACCATCGACCATCACCTGCCGGTTCCCACGGGCGGTCGGTGTGGAAACCGTGAAATTGCGTAGTGTTTACGCAGAATGCCACGAGACACTGCAGACTTGTTTTCTAGCATTCGAATGACTCATTGATCGTAGCTGGGTCAACTGCGTGCTCGCACTGTCAACAAGTGTCGCATTTGGATTTCGGGAAGGGGGATGGGGTCACGTTGGGGTCCAGCAATGTTTAAAGTCGGAACGAAGGTTGACGGAGATCGTGGAAAAGATTGTGTTGGGACGGTCTGAGAAAGGAGCGAAACGAACCGTTTTAATTGTTTTGTTTATAAAGGTTTTTTCTTTCTTAATTATGGCGAATTTCGAGAGTGGTGAGAACTAGGCAAAATTGGTGGATTTGTCGCTTCATGGTATCAATTTGCTGCCTCCCCCACTCCACGCACCCACCCACCCTCTCCGCTCGACGACGGCTCCAACCGCATTCACTTTTTCCTACGGTTTTTGTAGGAAAAAGTGAATGCGGTTGGGCTGTGTCGCCTGGTGCCATGAAACAGCATAGAAATAGCCATGATGGTGAGTGTGGTGATCGGAGAAAGGGATCATATTGGGAGAGATCAGGGTGAATATCGGTCGAGGAAATCCTCGACAGGGGGTCGTACCTGTCGGGGGTCATGGGGGGTCGTACTCTTGGGGGTCAGTAACGTCAGTGGCATCGTGGTGCAGATAGGAGTAAGAGGGTGTAGCGCAGCAGAAAACAAGGATATGAGAAAAAATGATATAAAATATTCTTTGCAGGTTCAGTCGCTCCGTCCTCTACCTTCGAGAAGGAAGTATTTGAAAGTATACAAAGAATGAAAGTGCATCTTTGCAAGGAACAGGGTCACATGTGCACACGCGCTGCAAAGCTAATTTATTGATGAGCCAGTCGACAATGCGACAGGTGAGGATTAATTGAAATGGGTGAAAAGATTCCTCATAGTCCACCAGAACCGGCCCTCTTCTAGAAAATATATGATATAGGGAGCCTTTACGCCCCATTCATAGCTCGCGATTTGTGCGATTTGGCGATTATTGGAAAGAAATGTGTCGCTTGAAAAATCGCCAAAGCACCGCACCGACGAGCGGTCATGGGCAGGGTCAACCCTATGTTCGTACAAGTACCGACGAGGAAGTCGTATTTGACCAGCGAGGTGGGAGGGGGTCGTAAGTCTGGTGTCAGAGTTCGCTATCAGTCACGCTATTCGCGCGACTCGCAAGTACCCCATTAGAACATTTGAAATAGTGAATACGTAGGATCATGAACAGTCGTCATCACCATCACCATCAAGCAGAAATGGCGGCAGGATTGGAGAGCATGTCGCAGTATTGATCGGGGCACTTGTGATTTCTGTGATCCGTCGCGCCATTCGCGCGAATCGCGGACTCTGACACCAGCCTAACCGCGGTGATCAGCAGGGAAAATCGGTGTCTTCTGCGAAATGCATCGGCGAATTAGAAGCACAGCGCAGGCACGGCGCACACTTTGGCAAAGATTGTCAGTGCAAAGCGCTTCAAATTCGAATCATCAGCATCAAAAAACTGTTTCAGAAGGACTTCGATGTTTCTGGAATGAGTGAAACGAAGAAAAGTAGGATGAACGAGGATTTCCGAAAAAAAAAAACTTTTGTAAAAGATGTTTTTGGAAGATTTTACAAACGCTCGAGTGAATTGTTTAAGTGCAAATTAACAAACTCAAACACACTCAAAGTCTTACACGAGATCGGTTTTGAAGGAAGTTAACCACTGAAACCCAAAAAACCGCGTTTTCACGAAAATGGCTTGATGAAGTGCCCCTCAAAAAAGTTCCAACGGGACTAGTTTTTGAATCGGTAAATTTTTCGAATTAGTTTTGGTATTTTTAGAAAGCTCAAACCTCGAAGTTTGTCATACTGACTTCAGCTTCCCAAATTATTGAGTTTGCCGAAAATTCTGAACATTTAAAGGTTGAAAACTCCGGGTTAAATTAGTCTCCCAAACCCCCAAAAAAGTCGCATCGGACTAGCCTTTGAATCAGTAATTTTTGATATGAGTTTCGGTACTTTTTAGGAAGCTTGAGCCTTTTGTTTGTAATGCAGGCTTCAGCTTTCCATTAATGAGTCTGAAGAAAGTTCTGATCACTTGGAGCTTGAAAACTCGCAAGTGCACAGTGAAAACTATCAACGCGCTTTTTTGCTAAACCAACTTTCGAGGGAAATTTAGAGAGCGGATAAATTGGTTTTTCCTACTCCTTTCACCTTGTCGCACAACCTCGAATTTGAAGGAAGTTATGGCCTTAAAAGAGGGCCAGGTGCAAATTTCATTGAAACTTTATTTGATTTGTGCAGAAACACCAGAGAAATTGGAAAAAACTTTCGTGCCCTCGAGTTTCTGTCCAGTCTATATGTAAGTTAATGTTTCCACACACACAGGGGTGTATCGAGGCCCCCGAAATGGCGGAGGGTCGTGAAATTTCCCAAAAAGTACCAACGGTAGGGTTGACCCTGGTTATGAGGCGGGGTCAACCTGATGAAAGTGCACGTGATCTTTTTAGATGGGGAGGAGGGCATAGCGATGGTTATCTATTTTAAACCGCGTAGAGCTTCTACTTTTTGTTGAAGTCGAGGCTGAGCTCGCGCTCTTGAAAGACTCCAGAGCGCCTGCGGAATGCGTGAAGGGAAAAATTCACGCTCTCCGACATTTTCTCCCACAGCGAAAACTGTAATTTCCGAAGGCGCCAGCTGCTGTTACTCCGTCGACCGGCGCGCCTCATGCCCTCCCTGGAAAGCTGGTGTCCGAGTCCGCGACCGTCGCGCGATTGCGTGAGTCGCAAAAATCGCAAGTGCCCCATTTTTCAAACACTGAATATGAAACAAGAAAAATCAAGAACAGTCGTCATTCAACCATCACCACCAAGCAGAAATGACGGCCGAATTGGAGAGCACCTTGCACTATCGATCGGCTTTTGCGTGTGATCCGTCGCGCGATTATGGCGCGACGGATCGCTGACCTGACACCAGTCCAAGGGGAATGGGAGGGGAGGGTTGTAGCGCACGAGTAATCGGCCAAGAAAGGCAAGTCCTGCACGCCTAGCATATTTCAATTTTCATGGCATTCAGCATCCTACTTAAAAAAGCAAACTTGTTCTTCCATCCCAGATCTAACTCTTGCAGAAAATGGGTTCACTATGTATGTCGGAGCGAACTACTGTGCCACCATCCGCGCTCTTGCTTCAAATTACACACTCGTCCGATCCTGTTCCTCCCTGAGGATAGGAGGGAGAGCTCGCGGGAGGGGAACATTCACACCTTGGGAAAGGATACAGCGTAGTAACGTGAGATAAATCCACAGGAAAATTAGGCGTAAGCTTCGGTATGTAGTTGCACGCAGTACGTAATTGCACTTGATTGGGTGTATTTCGCGGAAATGGATTGCTGATTGATGCTAACACTCTGATAGTCTGTAAACATGTCAGTATATGTTGTTATATGAAATTGACACTGTTTAAAAATGTCTCAAGGAGTACAGGAAGTCGATAGCTGTGATGCTGAAACCAGGACCAGGTTAATTTTTAAGTTGCAGTTTTTAATTCGCATGGTCGTTCATGCAAGTTTTGTGAGGCTTGCAACTAAAATGGGTCATTTTTCAAGGGAAATTCATCATTGCTTGTTAAATAAGTAGGAACTGCAACCTACATATCCTTCAATCATCTGATAAAATCCTGACTCATTACCGTTTATTCAGGTGTGCTTCTCCGTCTCATTCCCAGACCGAGTTCATTAGTGGAATTGTGGAAGGTGTGTTTTACATAAGAAAGCGTACCATCTCTCTTAGTTGACATTAATGCCCCGTGCACGGCACCTTATGCATGAGAGTATTGTGTAATTTGCAGACGTTATATTCAATGTTATTGTACAAATTTGTGTCAGGATTCTATGGGAGACCATGGACATTCGATCAGAGAAAGCATCTGTTCGCGAGGCTCAATCGGCTTGGATTAAACACGTATGTTTATGCGCCAAAAGATGATCTCAAACATCGTCCGCAATGGAGGGTTCCATACAATAGCGAGGAAGCAGGTTTGTACGAAAGTCTCTTGGCATTAGTCAGGTTTTTTTTGGAACATTCCTGATAATGGGTAAGTGGGAAAACAGCCAATTACTCAAAAAAAGCCTACATTTTGTTTCTAAGGAAGAAAGTGTTCGGAGGGTGTGGTTCGCAAGACGGAAAGCGACTTTTCCGCTTTTCGTAGCGCGAAACTTTTGCTGCGAGAACCCCAGGTCCACTTTTGCTCAGTGGTGGACCTAGGCTTTTGCAGCGAAAAAGTTCAACGCTGAAAAGAGCTGAAAAACTGCTCTCTGTCCAAGCGAACCACATCCATGTCACACCTAGTGAGTGGTGTTACTCTACGGTATTCAGTTCAGCGAATGGCAGCTTTACAGACATCCTTCGAAGTCTTATCGAATCAGCTAGAGCAAACAACATCAAATTCGTATATTCATTGTCGCCAGGAATTGACATCGCCTACTCGAAAACAGAAGAAATCATTTGCATCAAGAGCAAACTCGACCAGGCATCTTTTGTTTCATATTAATTTCATTTGTATTTTTTGTCTGCAGTTAAGATCTGTTTTATCATTTTTATCATTTTTTGTTTACTAAAATGGTACTATTCCACTATTACTGCTCCGCAACCTCAAAATTTTATTTTTTTGTCGAAACTTTGCCTGTAAAGGTAATTAAATGCTTTGATTACGAAGCGATATCCATTTTTGACACTGGCGCCATTTGGCGCCAGATGGCGCCACCTTGTCACGACGGCTGCTTCCACCAAATTCAGTGTAAACACATTTATTTAGGCGTTCGCGCCATTTGGCGCCTATTTTCTGCTTGTCTGCGCCCTCTCTCGGTTTGATAGCGAACAGGACTAAGGCTTAAGGAGAGGTGAGTGACCCACTCACCCTGTGATGTCACACGCTTTATTTTGTTTGCAATACACGCTTACGCCAACGCTGTGTCCCCTCAAACAAGTCTTACCTTAGGCACTGTACCCGAAGTAAGAGGGAGAAGCCCAGGGAGAGCAGAAAACATGATGCGTTGGTACGGCCAATCAAATTAGCACGATGTCATATTGTTCGTGATCCGGACACTCAGTTAAGCCCCCTGAATACACAATGTTGTGCGTCGAATCGTGAACAGCCGTCGTGGCCTAAGTGGCGCCAAAGGGGCGCCAATTAGCGACCGGTCCGTAAAATTTATCACATTCGTGATTTATCGTGGGCCCGGAAATACCTCTACATGCCAGGTCGTCAACAGCAGAAAATAAAATTTTGATTATTTTGTTGGCAGTAATAGTAGGAAGGGCTGCTTAAATTCCCGCCTGACACCTGTCCTACTTAAGTACAGAGTACAAGGATTGGAAAGGGGACGCCGCGTTGGGTAAATTGCGCATGGTATCGCAGATGAAGTGTTTGACATCACAGGGTGAGTGGCCTGGCAGGACTGCTACGCGTTCAAATTCCCACCGGACATCTGTCACAAATGCTGGCGGACGGGAACGCTTCCACTTGGTTCTTGGAGTGCTTCACTAGAAACTCTTTTGACCTTTTGACTTATTGCATTAACATCTCACACTTCTACTGCATCCTATTCTATCGATCGATTTGTCTCTACTCTCCAAAATCGCACGCTTCAACCCGATTCTTTCGATGCGTCGCCTGATCGTGGCCGCCCCAAGGCGCACTTCTTCCCATACCCCGCCTTTGGCGCCGCGCGACCAACGGAAAGAATACAAGAATTTTTCGGGAAGGAAACCTTTAACATCTTATTAGCTGGCAGCTGTTTTGATTCATCTTTATAGATAAGTTTTTCGGATTTGTTCTCTAATATGAAGTTCTTAAAATCCAGCGTTTGACTGTCAAACATTTACAGGTTCGCATGCTCGGGTGCGAATCGTTTGCTCTCCTCTTCGATGACATCGAGTGTGAAATGAATGAAGCGGATAGGAAATGCTTTACTTCCTTTGTTGCAGCCCAGGTAACTGTCGTGTCTTCAAATTTGTTTAAAGGATAAAGGATAAAGCATTTGCCGTTGATCAATCCCTTTTTGGGATGCGGCACGCATTCTACTTCCATTTGTACATTCGTAGTGGCGTTTGAATGCGATGTGGCCTATACAATGACTTGCGGGGGCCAGCCGATGTACAAGTCAGTGTTTTTATCCTCCCAGACAAGTCTGGTACCAATTAACCGACCCCGGAGGGATGGAAGGCTTGGTTGGCCCGGGCGACTCACGACCCAGGATTTGATCCCGGACCGCTCGCGTGGTAAGCGCGCCACTTGTCACTACACCACTTCCGCCCTGAGATAAGCTTAAAAAACCCAGGCAGAATAATTCGTGTGAACGATTCCTTCGTTCTGTAGATAGAGCCTAGAGGACAATCACAGATGTGGCATTCCCGTGCACGGAAATCACCCGACAAGAGCGCTAGGGCCTTGCAAAGTAAGCTGCTGCAGCTGCAATTTTTTCTCAGGCTGTTGTCTGGCGCCCTCTCATCTGCTGCGC